AACCCACACAAAAAAAAAAAAAAAAAAAATTTTTTTTAATTAAAAAAGGGGTAGGGATGTAGTTCAGTACAAAGGTCCTGGTTCAATTGCCAGTATGCTTTAAAAAAATGAAATAAAAAGTGCATTTATCCCAAAAAAAGTATCTTTTAAAGTTAGCCATGAAAAACAAATTTAAAAAAATAAAGTTAGCCATGATAATCGAAGCTTAGATTTATTCAATTACATTCTCAATTTGATCTAACAACAGAACTACCTGAAAATACAACTCTGTGTTAAAACAGAATACTAAACTGCTTTATTTGAAGCAAAAATCAAATGCACAACTATAGAGCAGCCTTAAATTTTAAAATAAATCAAAGGTTAGGTAGAATGTGATATTATAGGCAGCCAAATTAGACAGAAAATACTACACAGAGAGGGACTCTCAAAGAAGTGTGTGAAAAATAAAGACATCAGGATTGTGGCTGGAGGGGCACCTGAAGGAGGTCAGGCCTCAAGATGAAGACACAATGGCCAGGCCTCCAGGCCTCCCTAAGGGATGAACAGTAACTTGGGATTATACTGTAATGAGTACCACCTGGCCAGGGGGAATCCAGATAGCATCAGACGTCCAGGAGGGTGAGCAGAGCACCTAGACCAACCCTAACCAAACAGCCTTTGCTCTCTTCACGTACCCCACACCGTCACTCGCTGCCCTACTGGGTCAGTGTCAGCTAAGCAGCTCGACTTGAAATCCCACAGGTTGACTGCAGCTTGACCCACACTGTGCCCACAGCGTGTCCTCACTGTATACATCACTTCTGACAAAAGCTCCTGGTAGGGACCCCTCCTGTCTCAGGAGCAAAGTGTGAAATAACCCCTTCCTACTCTTACCCTCTGGTGTTCCTTGGAATTCACTCTTCCATGTCAAGGGACATGAGCTCAGCACACCTGTCATCTGGCAGGTTGGGAGTTGTATTTCTCCTCTGCCAGTCTTACTGCTTCAGGGTTAATTTTTGGTGACACTCCTTTGTAAAATGCTGATTTCCAAACCCTGCCCTCTATCATACCTATTTTCACTGGCAAAGAGATGGAAGCTAATAATCTGTGTTTTCAGGGCCCGGGAATGTAGCTCAGTGGCACCGTGCTTCCCTCTTGCAAGCACAAGATCCTGAGCTCAATCCCTGGTACCAAAACAAAAACAAAAAACAGCAATAATCTGCATTTTCTTCTCTTTTCTCTTCCTACCCCTCTGTTGAGAATTGAACTCAGGGCTTCACCCATGTAAAGTATCCTCTACCACTGAGCCCCAACTCTGAAACTTGAAATATAATTTGAATTTTTATTATGTGTGTTTGTGTTTTTTTGTTTTTTGTTTTGTTTTGAGACGGGGTCTCACTTTGTTGTTCAGGCTGGCTCTGAACCCACTATGTAGCCCAGGCTGGTCGCAAACTTGCAGCGATCCTCCTGCCTCAGCCTCCTGAGTGCTGTGATCACAGGTGTGTACCACTACGCCCTTATAGTGTATTTTTAACAAATACTCCAATAACACTTTGAGAAACACTGCAAAACATCAACAGGAAATCATTTACAAGAAGCAAAGGCACAGATGGTACACCTTATAAGGAAGTTTAGATAGCACCTTATTTAACCTGATTAATACTAGAATTTTTCTATAATATTGACTGAATAACTGACTTTCATAAGAAATGCAACACTTATACACTCAAATAAATATGCCTGTCTGTAAACTATGTAGGCTACTCACTTACTTTTTTAATACTACCAACGTCTAAAATTCAACTTACTTCTTAGAATTAATTTTCAATACAATGTATAAGCCTTCAAATACACATACAAGTTACAAAAAGGAAAACTGGTTTCTTCATGTAACTGTTCATTGCTTTTGATGAAAATCAGAGCACCCCCCACACTACTGCCCTGGCTGTAAAGAAGTAGAGACTTTCCCAAAGGCATCCTTATAAGGGAGAGATGCCACCACAAAAAACGGGATGCTTAGAACCATGTGACCAGAGGGCCAGGGTGCAGCTCTCAAAGAAATACCTTTTAAATGCTTGGAGTAGAGGATTGAGTAAAGGCTCTCAAAAAGCCTATTCTGTGTTGTTTGGTTTTTTTTCCCCCAGTATTGGGAATCAAGCTCAGGACCTTGCACTTGCCAGGCAGTTGCAGTGCCACTGAGCTATGCCTCCACCAGTCCCTTAAATGTGTGCCTCTCCCCACCACCACTGCACCCACACATACAGGGCATCGAACTCAGGACCTTGTGTTTTCAAAGTGGGCATAGGACCACTAAGCTAAATCCTCAGCCTCCAAAAGGCCTATTTTGAATAATGTTCACTTTGGTGTATAAATTCAAACACGAGAGTTTAAAAAATTATTACTGAACACTACCCAAACACACCACTATTAATAATAAAGTAAGGCATACCTGTGACTGCTCTCTTTGACAGCCTGGGTTATATTAGGGCACTTCACTTTCCAGAGAAATGTAAAAAATCTCTCTAACATTCAGCTCTGGCACGAACCCCCAGAAAACTTTCAAATCTACAGAAAGGAATAAAAAGTGTCCCAATTAATAAATTACAAAACCCAATCCACATTTCTCTGTTTTCTCCCTTCCCATATAGTGTGCACTGAGCTCTCCTCAGACTGCATTTATCTTTATAAAAAACAAATGAATGATAAATAATGAATCAATTTAGAAATATGAACACTAGCCAAAAATGAGAAAAGCTGGCTGGCTAGCAGAAGGTAACAAAGAAGTCTTCTAAGAGTTGTAAAGTAATTATATGCTTCTTTCAGAGGAGAATAAAAAAATGTGAAACTAAATCCATATGTCTGAATCAACAGCATCATTCTGAGACAATGACAATGTGACCGAGGGACCACAAGTAATTTTTATAAACAACTTCCAAAAAATGTACGATACTCTCAAAATATCTCCGGATACTTCTGTCCTATCCAGATATTAATCTTTTAAAGTTCAGTTTTTTGCCATCCCACAGGCAAAATCTACTTTGATCTCATACCATCAGGCCTAACTGGCAGGATAAGTTTCACAACACAAAAGCATGGCTTCATCCTTACTACACAACCAGAAAAACATGAGTTTAAAGGAAGCTGGGAAATTATTCTACCTGAAGAAACACAAAGGACAAAAGATAGCAGGACATCTTTTACATTTAAAATGACTAACCTGAACACTCAAGTACAAAAGGCAGAAACTGAAGTAAAAACTAAGCAAAGGTGCAAAGCCATTATTTAACATCACAATAGGTGGACACTAGAGAAAATCTGCCAGACAGAACATCTTTTTAAGAAAACAGTGAATAGGGCCCAGGGATTTAGCTCAGTGGTGTCACATCTGCCTGGCAAGTTTGATCTGCAGGGGGGCGGGGTGGACCACAAACAGTAAATAGTATACTTAAATGTTTAAAATGGAAACAGTTTTAAACCCCAAAAGAAGACACACACCCCCAAAAAGGAATAAAAGGAAAAAATGGAAACAAAGCTTTTGTAAATAAATACAAAGGGGAAGAAGGGTTGGAGGCAGGGGAGGAATTAGGGAAATAAATAATCAAGATATGTCATGTACAGGTACAAATTCCCTACAATGAATATGATCGTTATGTATATCAAAAGTGCACCAATAAAAGTGATTTTTAAAAATAGTCCAACAGAGAAACAGTCAAATAAACTTGGCACAACCACATAATTTACTTAATCACAATTCTGTCCGCTTTCAACAAATTTTATGAGTTTAAAATACAAAAAAAGAAAAATCAGGGTACACTGTTATAATTACATATAATCACAACTATTTACAGAAAAGCAAAAAACAAGATGCAATCTCTTCTGATACAGTTACAAATAGCAGGTAAAATAGTTCCTTGTCTTTACACAGGTTAAGGTGAGTAATTCAGGTCAGAGTCTTGTGGAACAAATACATCTTTTCAAAATCTCTATATTCTAAGTATTTCCCAAAAACAAGGGGTGAGCCCACCCCCCCGATGTTACAGTTTTTATACAACAGCCCAACATAAGATGGATCCCTGTAAGTCACTATACGAGGGTGTGTTGTGAGCATGCATGTGCCTGTGTGTGCTTAACCTACAGATGGCTTCAAAAGCTTAGAATACATTGTAACAAACCTTTCATAAAAGAAAAAAGGGGATGATGTAACACAATATGACCTTAATCCTTAAAACTGGGCATAGTACAGTGGCATACATGTGTAATCCCAGATCTCAATAGGCTGAAGCAGGAGGATTACAAATTCAAGGTCAGCCTAGGCAATATAGCAAGATCCCATCTCAAATTTTAAAGAATAAGCTGAGTGTGATGACACACAATGGTAATACCAGCACTGAGGAGGCTGAGGCAGGAGGATCACACAAGACACCTAATAAATTCAAGGTCAACCTGAACTATATAGTAAGACTCTGTTTCAAAAAAGCCAAAAAGAGGGCTGGGGATTTAGCTCAGTGGTGCCGCCATCTGCCGCACAAGCACAGGTCCCAAGTTCGATCCCCAGCACCCCCACCCCAAAAAAAGCTAAAAAGTAAAAGAAAGAAAGAAAGAAAGAAAGAAAGAAAGAAAGAAAGGAAGGAAGGAAGGAAGGAAGGAAGGAAGGAAGGAAGGAAGGAAGGAAGGAAGGAAGATTACAAGAGCTGAGGGAAAATAAATAAATAAATAAGGGCAGGGACAAGGGGAAAAAATGAGAACCAAGATCTGTCATGTAAAGGTACAAGATCCCAATAATGAATGTAAATGTACTGTATACCTAAAATGTACCAATAAACTCAATGAGAAAAAAAAAAAAAAGGCTGGATTGTAGGTCAGTGTCCATAATTGCCCCTGGATTCAATCCCCAGTACCACAAAAAAGAAAAAGATAAGAGCCTGGGCATAACAGCAGTAGTGACCAGACATGAAAAGGGTGGGATATGAAAAGGTGACTATTTCATATGCAAATAAACAAGTTCTTCATAGTCAGATTTCCACAGTATGTCCAAATTAGCCTTCTGCACTCTGATCAATTAATGGCTTATCGTGTAGCTGGGAACTAGGATACCACCTCATAGTCAAGACTCTAGGTATTTAATTGCAAGAGGTTTTGCAAGTACTATTTCCAAAATCCCACAACAACAATTGTATCACCACCGCATACTGGAGAGATACAGGCTCTTCTGCTGCCTCTTAAAAAATACAGATTGCTTCCAGATGCTTTTCAAGTGATTTCAAGCTTTTCCTCATTCTGCGCCTCATGAATTATGAAAGGACAACCCTAATTCACAAGACACACTTCTCCCACTGCCGTATCCACTGTATATTCTCCTCTCGCACTGTTTTAGGCACCCACACAAACGCTTCTACTTAGGTAATAAGGCATTATACACATCAGTACAGGCTTTACGAACAGACACTTTTGTATTTCTTCATCAAGACTCTGCCAGCAGCGACACTTTGCAACTTCAAAGGAAGCCAGGTCCTTTGACAGTAATGTACAGGATGGCATAAAAACCAAGGTGAAATGGGATACAAGTACACTGAGAGCACTTTCTTACAATTCACTGGTTCTTGATAAGTCCCTAGGTTGTCATCTAATTTAAAAACAAAATACGGCTTCTGCTGAATGGGGGGGACGACAAGGGCCGTTAACAATTCAGCCACACTCAGCGCTCTCCCCAGGGAAGTGTTTTCCTTCTCACAAGACATTCTACCTCCACAGACTAAAATAAAATTCTGAGCCAGGTGTGGTAACACATGTCTATAATTCCAGCACTCAGGAAGCTGAGGCAGGAGGATCACTGAGGTCAAAATCAGCCTGGGCTACATAGTGAGTTCCAGGTCAGTCCAAACTGCATAGTGAGACCCTATGTCAAAAAAAAAAAAAGAATAAAATCAAATTCAGCCTTATAATCCTTCCGTGTAATAACTATGTCACAGTCCTAATTTCAACAGACGAACAAAATTTAAAGCTCATTTCTAGATGGTATAAATTCAATAAATTCAGACCTCCACTGTGCTAGGTTTAAAAATCTAATAGGCAAATGCACAAAAAGCACAGCGAGACCACCAAGTGAGTACTGTTCTAGGGTTGGGTAGATGACTGCTATCCACATCATGGATTCCTCTCTGTATCAGAGAAACCAATGTAGGGGGCTGCTTGTGCAGGGGGTGGGATTTCTTCAAATCACTGCATTAGTTGAGCTGTGATATAATCAAGTGATTTCCTGAGGGGTAATTAACAAATTAACCAACAGAGAGAGAAGTGTCAAACAGTTCAACAAGCTTTCAAACACATGACAGTGACTATGAGCTCAGGACTGAATATTTCATTCTCCAAAAGGGCTGACCTGGGACAGGTGATGCATTACATGTATTCACATATACAAACTTGCAGAGGTGAACAAAATATTCCACACAGGCCCCCAATCTCCACTGACCATTAAACACATAATAACTTAAAGAGTCTTAAAATTTTTAGATTCATACTGATCAATGAAACCGAATCCCTGAATTTTACACCTGAAAAAACTGAAGAACAGAGAGGCTAAGTGACCTATTCAAAATTAAGTAGACAGAAAATGGTGAAGACAGAGGTAGCTGCTGCACCTGCTAACTCCCTCAGTGATGCTGCCTACTCTCTCAGCATCAAGACCACAACTCCTAAGCAATCTATCCATTAAGCAGATTTCATTCCTCCACTGACCAGCAAACCTAGCTTTAGGGAAAGCAAATCAATGAAGCTTCAATCTTCAACTTCCATACAATCCCTGGGATCTCATATTAATAATAAAAAATTCTCTTTTGTACTCAAAAGCCCAATGCAATTGGACGCCTTTGACAAGGCCTCTCATATAGAACAAGTTAGTGAGTTGAAGACTATTTATAAGAGGGAGGGAAAACAGGCAGAGACTATGGCATCTTGGAAACAAATTAAGAACACAGATTAAAATGAAGGTGAACAAAACCAAATTCGAGTGTTTAAATGGTATTATTTTTCAATATGAAAATTACTCACAAGATTAAAAAAAAAAACAGTAGTCACTGTTGAGTTCTATAATCAGAACTTTTTGAAAATGCTGGAATCTAAATTTGCTTCTTGAATACTCCCAAAGCACAACATGTGTCAAGGCTCTAAGAAGACCTACAGAAAAGAAGCTGCTTAGTTCGATGTTTCCCCAAGTTATTTGATATCTCTGACTTGCAGAACGTATACTGACATCCACCAGGAAACACATTTTAGGAAGCATGCTCAGCATACTTATGAAGAACCTAAGTGTGACCCCCATTAGCAGCATCTATAATGAGTCAGGGTTCTTCTTCTAGGCTCAACTGTAAAAATCATCTCATGAAGATAAGGAACCCTATGATTACAATGAAAATAGCCATCACCAAAATGTAATAAGTGCAGAGGACAAAGCACATGCTAAGTATAAACATTTTTTTGAGAAGAGGTTAGATGTGTGTCCTCAACCACGAAATTCCCCTCCCCAGAAGCTATATCTAATTATATATAAACAAAGTAACTTTACACAA